GCCACCACACCCAGCTAATTTTTTGTATTTTTAGTAGAGATGGGATTTTGCCATGTTGTGCAGTCTGGTCTCGAACTCCTGACCTCAAGCAATCTACCTGCCTCAGCCTCCCAAAGTGTTGGGATTATAGGTGTGAGCCACTGCGCCCAGCCTCTTTTTTCTGTTTCTAAGATCTAGTCTCTGTCTTCAGTGCTCTGCAATTTTCTTATAGTGTGTTGAAATGTGGATTTCCTTTTATTTCTGTCAAGAAGTTATTGAGGTTCTTGAATCTGGGTATCTTTTTATTTTCCATTTATTTTCTTTCTTTCCCTTCCTCTCTCTCTTTCTCCCTTCCTTCTCCCCTTCCCTCCCCTGCCCTCCCCTTTCTTTTTCTTTTTTTTTTGACAGGGCCTTGCTCTATTACCTAGGCTGTAGTGCAGTGGTGCACTCACAACTCACTGCAACCTCCACCTCCAGGCCTCAAGCAATCCTCCTGCCTCAGCCTCCTGAGTAGCTGGGACTACAGGCATGCACCACTACACTTGGCTAATTTTTGTGTTTTTGCAGACACTAGGTCTCACTATGTTGCCTAGGCTGGTCTCAAACTCCTGGCCTCAAGCAATCCTCCTGCCTTGGCCTCCCAAAGTGCTGGGATTACAGGTGTGAGCCCATAATCCCAGCAGTGAGATTACAGATAAAGTGCCCGGCTCATTTTCCATTTCTTTTTATCACTATGCTGTCATCTGCATCATTTCTTTGGCTCTGTCTTCTCTGTTTTTTTCACCCCTTCTTCCTCTGAACTGCCTTCTCTTTTCAGTTGTGTCTCACCTGCTATTAAATCTGTCCACTGAATTTTAAATTTTTATTAGTACATTTTTCATCTCCAGAATTCTATTTATTGTTTTAAAAACTGCTTGGTCATGAGGCCGGGTGCAGTGGCTCACGCCTGTAATCCTAGCACTTTGGGAGGCCGAAGCGGGCGGATCATGAGATCAGGAGATCAAGACCATTCTGGCTAACACAGTGAAACCCCATCTCTACTAAAAATACAAAAAATTAGCCTGGTGTGGTGGCAGGTGCCTGTAGTCCCAGCTACTCGGGAGGCTGAGGCAGGAGAATGGCATGAACCTGGGAGGCGGAGCTTGCAGTGAGCTGAGATTGCGCCACTGCACACCAGCCTGGGTGACAGAGTGAGACTCCATCTCAAAAAACAAACAAACAACAACAAAAAAAACTTGTTTAGTAATTTGTATATTATTTTTTTTTTTTTTTTTTTTGAGATGGAGTCTTGCTCTGTCACCCAGGCTGGAGTGCAGTGGCACCATCTGGGCTCACTGCAACCTCCACAGTCCCAGGATCAAGTGATTCTCCTGCCTCAGCCTCCTGAGTAGCTGGAACTACAGGTGCGCGCCACCACGCCCAGCTAATTTTTGTATTTTTAGTAGAGACAGAGTTTCACCATGTTGGCCAGGATGCTCTCGATCTCTTGACCTCATGATCTGCCCACCTTGACCTCCCAAAGTGTTGGGATTACAGGTGTGAGCCGCCACACCTGGCTCCATTTTTATTTCTTAAAAGCTCTGAAATAGTAATTTTATGTCATGTTTCTGATAATTTCTAAATCTACAGTCTTTGTAGGTCTGATTCTGCTGTCTATATTCTTCTTTTGCTCATGGTGCCTAGTTTGTTTCGGTTTTGTGATTTTTGATTCTGTGCTTATATTTCTTAAAACTTTATATGTGGGAATTTTTTGAGGCCTGAGATAAAGGTGAATTCTTCTAGAGAGAATTGCATTTGCTTCTTCTAGCGCTTTAGATACTTAGGCCCACTTTATTTTATTTATTTATTTATTTTTGAGATGGAGTTTCACTTTTGTCACCCAGGCTGGAGTGCAAATGGTGCGATCTCAGTTCACTGCAACCTCCATCTCTCGGGTTTAAGCGATTCTTCTGCCTCAGCCTCCTGAGTAGCTGGAATTACAGGTGCCTGACACCAAGCCCAGCTAATTTTTGCGTTTTTAGTAGAGATGGGGTTTCGCCATGTTGGCCAGGTTGGTCTCAAATTGCTGACATCAGGTGATCCACTTGCCAGGTGATCCACTTGCCTCAGCCTCCCAAAGTGCTGGGATTATAGGCCTGAGCCACACCTGACCTTTAGGACCACTTTAAATTAAATTTTCTGCTGGAGGCTTTTCAGATGATTCGACCTTGTGAAACTAAGCTGCACATTGTTAGGACTAGCTTTTATATATTTTTCAGGAGTTCTTTTTCACTTTTTTTTTTTTTTTTGAGATGGAGTCTTCCTCTGTTGCCCAGGCTGGAATGCAGTGACACAATCTCAGCTCACTGCAAGCTCCAACTCCCGGGTTCATGCCATTCTCCTGCCTCAACCTCCCAAGTAGCTGGGGCTACAGGCACCTGCCACTATGCCTGGCTAATTTTTTGTGTTTTTGTAGAGACGGGGGTTTCACTGTGTTAGCCAGGATGGTCTCGATCTCCCGACCTCATGATCCGCCCGCCTTGGCCTCCCAAAGTGCTGGGATTGCAGGTGTGAGCCACTGCGCCTGGCCCTTTTTCACTTTTATGTAGTACCAAGAACCAAGGCCATTTTGGCTATAACCCCTCCAGGCGGAGTGGTCAGATTTATTTCTAGTTTAGCCTAACAGTAAGGGTATAGCTTTAGGGTCTCACCTATATGAGAGAATATCCAATTAGAATCTCCATCTTGGGCAGACCTTGAGTTCTGTCTTCTGTCCCTGGAGCTCCTTAAGGCCTTGAAAACTGAAAGCTAACTGGTTTGGCAGTTGCTTTGTTTATCTCTCTGGGTATCTGTTGTCACATGGTTTGGCTGAATATTCCTTACTTTCATTCATTTATTTAGAAGAAGATATTTTTAGTATTTGATCCAGAATTTTTAGTTGTTTTCAGCAGGAGGATCAGTTAGGGCGCCTGGGTCAATTACACCATCTGAGGGGGACGTCTGGTTCCCCCTCACTTATTTTTCAGTAATATCCTTAAAGTTTCTTTAGAAAATTCTCAGGTCTATATGTGCATTGGTTCCCAAACCTTTGTACATATTTTTATATTATTGTTTTCTTTCAATACCATGTCCTTTAAGTATGATACATACACAGTGAATTTTAGCATGTGAAACTGATATATATTTGGCTGATGAAGAATTACATAATGTTAGGCAGAGAAAAAGATTTCAAGGGCAGCTGAGGTCTGCAATGTTCATGAAGTTTTGGATTTTTCTTTTTTTTTGTGCCTCTTGTTTTCTCTTATGTTTTAAACTTTAATTTTGAAATACTCTTAAATAGCCCTGTTTATTTTCCTCGTTAACATTTCTGGTAAACAGAACGTTTTAATGTTTATCAAAGGAACGTTTTTAAGGACAGCGTGATCACATTGGATGGTCTCCATTTTCAGTAAGTCTGGCTTTGAAGCACATAACAGAAACATTTTGAACATCTGATTCTCCACATTTCACCAGAGACTAGGCTTTATTTTCTGTGAATGCACCAATTATGGCAGCAAGAGTCAAGAAAACACAGCAAAGAGGAGAGAAGAGGAACTCAACCCCCTCCCTTCCATTTGTCAGCTTGAAAGGGCTTTTCTTTTTCTCAGTTTTTTCTATTTCCTAAAGCCTTCTCTGACCAGCCTAGGGGAAGCCATCTTCCCTCCCCCGAAAGCAAATGAGATTCTGCTCTTCTCACTCTCAGTAGCATCCTCCCACGGGACCCCCTCAAGCTCTATGTCTTCTCCTATATCACTTTCTCTCTCCTGCCTCTCTGGCCTCTCCTCACCTCCTTTGCTTCTTTTTATTTTTGCCATTAAAAAAAATTTTTTTTTGAAAGAGTCTTGCTCTGTTGCCCAGGCTGGAGTGCAGCGGCATGATCTCAGCTTACTGCAACCTCCGCCTCTCGGGTTCAAGCGATTCTTGTGACTCAGCCACCCAAGCAGCTGGGATTACAGGAGCGTGCCACCACGTCCAGCTAATTTTTGTATTTGTATTTGTGTTTATTTAATTTGTTTATTTATTTTCAGATGGAGTCTTGCTCTGTCACTCACGCTGGGGTGCAGTGGCATAATCTCAGCTCACTGCAGCCTCTGCCTCCTGGGTTCAAGCGATTCTCCTGCCTCAGCCTCCTGAGCAGCTGAGACTACAGGCACATGCCACTACACCTGGCTAATTTTATTTTTTGTAGAGATGAGGTTTTGCCATCCTGCCCATGCTGGTCTCAAACTCCTGGGCTCAAGTGATCCTCCTGCCTTGGCCTCCCAAAGTGCTGGGATTATAGGTGTGAGCCACCGTGCCTGGCTTCTTTCACCTTCTTAAAGGCCAGTGCTCCTCCAGGCTGTATGAGAGGCCCTTTTCTCTTCTCCTTCCAAACACTCATCTCCACCAGTGGCTCATGTTGGTGACTTATGCTGATGACTCACAAAGATTATCTCTAGGTCAGCCTCCTCAGGAGCTCCAGACCTCTGTCTCCAACTGCCTACTGGACACCTCCACCTGGATGTCCCATAGGCTTCTCAACCCAATGTGTCCTGAGCTTATTTGCTACCCAACTCCCCATCCTCACTAATATCTGCTTTTCTTCCTGCTTCTGTTCAAGTCAGAACCTGGGAATCATCCTAGATCCTTCCTTTCCTTATTTCCTCATCTCATTCTTCCTCTAAGGCTGACCAGTTCTTTCTTCATAGACGGATACTCATTATCCGTTCCATTACAAATGCCACTGCCCCTTCCAGGCCCTCCCCTTTTCTGCCCAGGCCACTGTATTTGCATTTTAACTGGTCTCCCTGCCTCCTGTAACATCCTTCTCTAATCCATCCTCTGTACTACCTCCAGGGGACTTCCAGAGTGACTGTTCTAGAATGCAAATCTGATGATATCTTTCCCTTGATCAAAACGCCTCACTGGTTGAAAAGGAAGGAATTAGAATTTTTCAGAGTGGCTGCCATGTTCCTCCCACCCCTATCTTGGCACACTCCTCTCCTGTACCCAGCCACACCTACCCCGTGTTCCAGCGGAGTGAGTTGCTCACAGTTCCCAAAGGCCCCAGGCTCTTGCACACAGACCTCTTTTGCTGGGAGTGGACTTCCTCTTGCTGCCGCCCACTTAGCCAGGTCATTTCGGCTTTTCCTTCCATGCTCAGCCCAAACATCACCTCCTCTGGAAAGCCTCCTTTGAATCCCGCTCCTCTCCCTTCCCCGGTCTGAAAAAGTGCCCTCCTCTGAGCACATTATGTTTTGGGGCATTTTTGCCAGTAGAAGGAAGCTCAGTCTCCTGGACTTTGAGCTCCTTGAGGGGAGGAGCCTCTACCAGTCCCTTCTGGGCTCTGAGGCACCTCACATGGTGCTGACACAACAGGTACTTGACCCCAAGTAGTTCTGTTGATGAGCGAGGTGATCTTGGGTAAATCATTTAACCTCCTTACATTTTAGTAGATATAAATGTACTCTACCTCCCACCGGATTCAATAAGATAGAGTGTATAAAAATACTTTGGAGACTGCATTTCATTGCTTTTCAAATGTAAGGACTTCTTATTACCATAGATGTGCAGCTTCAATTAGTGTGCTTTAGAAAAATGTACTGTGTTCATTTCCCCCTCCTTCTCTGGGGCCTTCTCCGCTCCACCAAATGCCCTCTGCCTCCTTCCTTTTCCATCTGGCTGTTTTCTTCTTTTCCACCTACAAATCCGTTCTCAGCTCACCCATTCTAAAAACAAGTCTTCCTCCCATCCCTCCTCCCCCTCGAGCCACAGTCCTTCCTTTCTTCCCCCCATTGCTGCCAAAGCCCTTCAAAGAGTGTTTTACTGGCGGCTTCCGGATCTCACCACCCACTTCTTTCTTCATCGGCACAATCTGGATCCGCCCTCAGCACGTCACAGTCAGTGGATCCTCTGAGAATTCCTGTGACCTCCTATTGCTGCTGGATTGCAGGCTCTTCTCGGGCTTGACCTCGGAAGCATCTGGCCCTGCTGAAATGCTCCTCCTTGGCCATAGGGATCCTGAACTTTCCCCATTTTCCTTTTCTCTCTCCAACAGTTGCTTGTTCTCTTCCCGTAAGTGTTGGCATCCTTGAGACTCTTGCCCTTTGGCCTCTTGTTTTCTCTCCTTCCTGCTTCGTGATCTCACCCACTCCCAGGACTGCCATCAGGCCCTCTTTGCAGATGTCTTCCCAGACTGCTGTTTAGCACTGATCTCCTGAGCTGTTGCTTCATGTGTCCAGCTACTGGCTAGACAGATACATTTGATGGTCCTGCTGGCACCTGAAACTCAAAATGTCCAAAATGAAAATCATCCATGGCTGGGCACCATGGCACACGCCTGTAATCCCGGCACTCTGAGAGGCTAAGGCAGGCGGATCACTTGGGGCCAGGAGTTCAAGACCAGCCTGGCCAACGGAGACCTTCTCTGTTTATCAAAATTAGCTGGGCGTGGTGATGCATGAAACAGATAACAACACAAACAGAGGACCTGAGGCAACGAGAAATTGCTTGGAACCCCAAGAGGGGAAGGCTGCACGTGGAGCCAAAGATCATGCCATGGGGCAACCCTCCAGCCTGGGTCAAGAGTGATGACTCCAATCTCAAAAAAAAAAAAAAGAAAAAATCATCCCTCATACTGCCTTTCCCAACCGACGACGTTCAGGTTTCCCATTTTGTCTTTAATTTATATAATGGGTGTCCTTCATTCTCCATTCATCCTAGAATTCGCCTTGCTCTTTGATTTCTCTGCCCACCAATCAAGTCAATTGCCAAGTCCTATAGATCCTCCTTTTACAGAAGTATCTGTGGTTTCCCCCACCTGGTTGTTTTGGAAGTGCCCCCTAAAGAAAAGGGGGCCCCTTCATTACCTTTTCTATCCTAAACCATCTCCATAGCCTTTACACGTTGACTTTCCATTAATTTTTTCTACTTTCCTTCTCTTCCTCACCCTCCTCGCCTGTTTTTTCTCTCTCTCCCTTGCCTTTTCTCTCCTTTCTCTCCTTCCTTTTTCTTTTTTTTTTTTTTTTTTTTTTTTTTTTGAAGACGGAGTCTCGCTCTGTCCGCCACAGGCCTGGAGTGCAGTGGGGCGGATCTCAGCCTCACTGCAAGCTCTGCCCTCACCGGGTTCAAACGCCAATTCCTCCCCTGCCTCAGCCTCCCCAGTAGCCTGGAACTACAGCCCGCCATCGTGCCGCTAGTTTTTTCTGTATTTCCTTAATAGAGACGGGGTTCACCGTGTTAAGGCCCAGGAATGGTCTCGTATCTCCTGACCTCCGTGATCCGCCCGTCTCAGCCCTCCAAAAGTGCTGGGATTACAAGGCCTTGAGCCACCGCGCCGGCCTCCTTTTCAATAAATATTTTATTGAGGCACGCTACTTAATGTGCCAGGCCACAGGAAAAAATAAAAAGTTAATGCAGTTCAGTCCCATTCCCAAGATTTTGAAAGCCAGCAGAGTGCTTATTTCAAGAGCCCCACATTCCAGTGGCGGCCTTAGAGAAGTAAACCACAATCGCAATAGGGTGCAATTGCACTTAGGGCCTTCCAGCTGATCTCCTCGCCCCCATTTCTTCCTCCTTCCCAATCATGGTGTTATTAATCTGTGTTAGATTAATACTCCCCAGGTCTTGTGACAATTCCGCCAGTCCCCTTCATTGGCTGTCCATTGCTATGTGTAAGTCCTCAGTATGTTTTTATGGGTTTTTAAAAATTTCCCCAACCTGCTTCTCTACATGCATCTCCAGGGTTCTCCTCTCCTGCCCTCTACCACCCAGCCTTCACTGGGAATTCTCTGAAAATGCCTTGTTCCTACCCCTGTGCCTTTCTTCTTTTAATTCCCTCCCCCATCACTCTGGCTGTAAAAATTCTAGTTATCGCCGGGTGCGGTGGCTCACGCCTGTAATCCCAGCACTTTGGGAGGCCGAGTTGGGCCGATCACTTGAGGTCAGGAGTTTGAGATCAGCCTGACCAACATGGTGAAACCTCATCTCTACTAAAAATACAAAATTAGCTGGGCATCGTGGCACACGCCTGTAATCCCAGCTACTGGGTAGGCTCAGGAAGGAGAATGGCTTGAACCTGAGGGGTGGAGGTTGCAGTGAGCCGAGATTGCGCCACTGCACTCCAGCCTGGGTGACAGAGCGAGACTCCATCTAAAAAAAAAAAAAAAATCCTAACCATGGGTTTATTTTGAGCCCTGACTCCAGCAGGTATAACTCTTCCCTCCAGCAGTGCTTCCAACCCCCTCGGCATTCTCACTGTGGCACAAAAACGAATGATTCAACCAGCAAACCATCTGCTGGAGTGACAGAGAGCTGTAGCAACTCCCAGCTTTGTGGGGTTAACAAGCAAACCCTGAGAGCCATCTCTATCAGCAACAAGGGTCTTGTGTTAGGGGCAGACATCCCTGAGCAGTCAGGGGAAACCTGGCACTTATCCAAGAGCACAAATAGGACCAAAGCCCCCCACACGCCAAAGGCCCATCACCAGCATCACCGCGAGGAGGCACTGCAGAGTAGAACCCATCGTGTGGCCTCTAGAGTCCATAGTACATGGCTGGGTAGAGCAAACTGCCCACAGTTCTGGGGCATATTCTACATCTCACATCCCACCAGCTCCTCCCCTATGCTTTCCTGATTTTCTCATCACACGTTGATGCTACTGCTTTTTAGTATTGCCCCTCATGACATCTGCTGTGGTATTTGGTATCTTTTGCCTAGGAGATCTACTTTTTTTTACCAATCAAATGAGAATCTTCATTCACAGAAAGAGAGATCACTCTTGCCTTCTATCTGTTATCGGAGGATATTTCCTTTGCCCTGTAAGTCTTGAAAGGGCCTGTAATGCCCCAGCACTTTTAAAGGTGGGCAATCACTGGAGGTCGGAGTTCAAGACCAAAGCCTGACCAACATAATGAGAAACTCTCCCATCTCTAAAATAAAAATAGCCAGGCATCGGGCATGCATGCCTGTAATTCAGCTACTCGGAGGTTTGAGGCAAGGAGAAGTTGCTTGAACCCCCAGGAGCAGAGGTTGCAGTGACTGCGATCGTGCCCATTGACACTCCACCTGGGCAACAAGGGCGAAACTCTGTCAAAAAGAACAGAACAGAACAGAAAAGAAAAGAAAAGAAAAGGAAAAAGAAAGAAGAAGGAGGGAGGGATGGAGGGAGGAGGAGGGAGAGAGGTGAAGGAAAGGAAAGAAAGAAGGAAAGAACAGACCCTGCTGAGTGACGCGAACACAGTAATCTGTATGTCTCTCTCTCTGCTAGATCCTACGCACACTTTACACCTTGGGTTTGGAATCGTCGTGTGCTTGACGTGTGTGTGGGCTGGTTGAAGCAGATTACCACGAGATCACATTTACTTGAACATACCTAGCGCGAACAATCTCAGACATTAAGCTAGGTGCTTTCAGATTGCCAAGAACCTAACACTCAGGTTTCAAAATTTTGATTGAGATCTTGTAGTTCAGATTCCCATGTTGGCTCCAAAATTCCATTCTGTGCTGGAATATGAATGGAAGAAGAAGATACTCCTTTCAGAGCTAAACCTAATCCCAAAATCAACAGCATTTTCTTATGAAGAGAGAGAGTGTAAGTGTGTGCGTGGTGTAAGCCACCCCTGAGAGTCACCGCTGGAAGTACCCAAGACTGCTCTGGTTGCCTGCCCTATCCTGCCCATGGAAAAACTCCCTGCATTGGAGGTCCAACGGATACTTAGTAATCTCCTTCTCACCATGCCCCAGGCTGTGATCATTGTCCCTAACAAGCTGGAGTTTAGTTGTTAGGGTGAATGAGACAAAGTACACAAGACCAGGTGCGGTGCTCAAGCCTCTAAATCTTAGCACTTGGGAAGCGAGGCAGGAGGAATCGCTGAGCCCAGAGTCAAGACCTAGTCTGGGGCAACCATAGTGAGACCTCAATCTCTACCAAAAAAGAATGTTAAAAATAGCTTGGCGAGGGCGCGGTGGCCTCACGCCTGTAATGCCAAAAGGGCACTTTGGAAGCCCGAGGCGGGCGGATCACAAGGTCAGAGATCGAGACCATGGTGAAAACCCCGTCTCTACTAAAAATAGAAAAAATTAGCCCGGGCCGCATGGCGGCCCTGTATCCCAGCTTACTCGGGAGGGCTGAGGCCGGAGAATGGGATGAACCCGGGAGGCCGAGCTTCCATGACCGAGTTGCGCCAACTGCACTCCAGCCTGGGCGACAGAGCGAGACTCCGTCTCAAAAAAAGAAAAAATAAAAATTAGCTGGGCATGGTGGCATGCACCTGTATCCTAGCTACTAGGAGGCTGAGGCAGAGCTTGAACGGGGAGGTTGAGTTGCAGTGAGCTGTGATCATGCCACTGCAACTCCAGCTCTGGGTTCGAATCGTATTTCGGGGCGCGCGGTAAGAGAGATTAATAGAACAAAAGGAAGTTTGGATTTCTGGCTGGCGCACCCCGCTATCCTTAACCATCGCCCTCTGACCGTTAATTCCAGGCTCCAAGCATTTTTGGAGGCCTGCCTGCTACGCAGGGCTATCATCACACATGAAATTCCGAAGGGGAGGATAGTAGACCCGAACAATCGACTGGCCAAATCCAAGCGTTAGAGAACCATCCACCTACACAGGTATAAACACAACAATCACAATAGATTAGCGTTCTTTCATTTTTAAGGAGACAGAATCTAGATCTGTCACCGGGGCCCGACTAGTGAGTGCGCAGCCAGACTCGGTCATAATGACCATCCACCAACCACCCTCTATGCGATGGTGAACCGCAGAACCAGGAGAATCACTGGAACCCCACCACCGGTGTATAGCAGACAGCCTGACAGGCTGCCAAGGCGAGCTCGAGATCACCCGCCCACACTGACTAGGCACCTTCCAACAGCCTGGCAACAGACAGAGGCTCCATCTAAGAAAATAAAATAAAAAAAAAGCGAGTAACACAGCTCCTACCGCCAACATAAATAGTATATATTCCCCACATTATTATCTCTACTAGTCAGATTTTCTAGTAGACAGGAGTGCGCGCCGACATACACTAACAGACACCAGTCAAAACAGAGCTGGGTACAGAGCGCGATGTATGAGCCAGACAATCTCCGACAGGTCACACACAAGCACATAGGCGCGGGAACCGGCGTCTTCGGGTTGGCATTGTCGCACCGACGTACGCAAACATCAATGGCAGAAACTTCGCGTTGGCGCGCCACGTTCTTGCCTACCAAGCATTTCGTTTACTATCGCACTTCACGCGAGCCCACCACCACGCAACGCTCCTAACTCTCGCAGTGGGGCCGCCCTCGGGCGACATGCGCCCGGGGGCGCGACATCCAAGCGCCGCCGTTCTCTCTGTGCTCGAGTCAGTGGGCGCGCGCGGCTCGGTCCCTAACACACCGATTGAGTGCTCTTGGCATGAGACGTACCACAGGCCCCTGCTCCCCACTTGCGCCCGGGACATGCTCCATGTGACTTATCTCCTTCCCCTTAAACACAAAGACCCGCGTGCACCTCATGTGTCCTGCATAATACGACCGGCGTATCCTAGTGATCTCCTCGTTAACGCCCCACAAACGCCTGGAGGAGTCCGCGACACCTTGCTCTCTCTCGTAACCACTGCCCCAACAATTGAGCAGGTTGCTGGTGCTGAATCTCACATCCGTTCTCTCTTGTGCCCCACCGAGGTGAGACAGCCCCTGCCGGGACGGCGCGGTTGGAAGCACCAAGCTAATTTTCTAACACTTCTTTTTGGTAAAGAGATGAGGTCCCTCGCGACTACGGTGCCAGACCTTGGTCTTGAACATCCTCGCGGCTCAATGCGACGCCTGCCCAGCCTCCCAAAGTGCTAAGATTAGAGGGC